GTAATAAATAAATAAATAAATAAATAAATAAATAAATAAATAAATGATTTAAATTCATGACTAAGTCTGGTGGCGGAAGGAACGGCAGTGGTTGAGGGTAGCTTGGCGAGGCTCCCATGCACCTCGACCTCCACCTTCCACAAGCCCCCACCCCCACCCGCCAAGATGCCCAAGAGGAAGATCAGCTGGGCTGTAGGGGTGGTGAAGGAGGAGCCCAAGAGTAGATAGGCAAGGTTGTCCTGGCTAAAGTGGAAACGAAGCCAAAAAAGGGAGAGGGAAAGGGTAAATCTTCAAACAAAAAAGTGCAAGCAAAAGGGAAAACGGGAGCCAAGGGAAAACTGGCTGAAGTGGCTAATCAAAAAAAAAAAAAAAAAAAAAAAAGAGAGAGAAAAGAAAAGAAAGAAAGAAAGAAAGAAAAGAAAAGAAAAAAGAAGCTGAGGAAGATTTACCTGAAGAAAATGGAGAAACTAAAATGAGGAGAGTGCAGCTTCTGATGAAGCAGAAGAGAAAGAAGCCAAGTCTGATTAATCACAAGCCATCTCTTATCAGTGCTCCCTGTCTCCTTTCTTGTACAATCCAGAGGAATATTCTTATCAACTATTTTGTAAATGCAAGTTTTTTAGTAGCTCTAGAAACATTTTTTTTTATTATTATTTTTTATTTATTTATGTGTGTGTGTGTGGCCAGCTCAGCCCACCAGGGGGCAGGGCTGGCTGGCATGTTGTGCTGGGGGATTCAACTGCGGTCCCTGTGCTTTGCTAAGCTTGTTCTAAGTAGGTGCTTTAGACCACTGAGCCATCTCACCAGCCCCTAGAAACATTTTTTAAAAGGAGAGAATCTCACCTCATTGCATTTTTTAAGTGTAAAGAATTTTTTTTTTAGAGGTGAAATCATTCTCTGGTTGTTTACTTTTTGGTACAACCACAAATAGTGGGATATTGAATTATGGCAGGCTTTGACTATTGGATATCAGCTTAACATTCCATAGGTGGGGGTTAGTTTATATCCTGTAATACAAAGCATACTAAATGGCAATTTGGAATTACAGCCATGCATTTAATATGTCTTGGATATTTTAAATGACTTCTATTGCCATGTTTTTAGTAGAATTGTTTCCTAAAGAAAACTACTTCCTAATTGCTGCCCTGTCAGAATCCTGTACACTCTGTAACATCTTCGGTAGTGGTAGTCCAGTTTGCCTCATTTTGTTAATGTGCTGTGAAAGATCAAAAATTTTTATATGTAGTGTATGTGATACAAAATTGTGAATTGGTGGGACTTAATTAACACTTCGTCAGCATTTGAAGATAATGGTACTCAATCCTCTTACAGAAAATTTGCCTCTACACTTTTTTTTTTTTTTTTTCTATTTTTTGCAGAACCGGGGATTGAACTCATGCCCTTGTGCTTGCCAGGGAAGTGCTTATTCCACTGAACCATCTCCCCGGCCTCATTTTTTTTTTCCTCTACATTTGAAGAGTTATTGAAATGACTGAACAACAATACATGGCTTTTTTTAGTATGTGTGTTAAGAATTGTGTAAAAAGTGAATCATGTATATTGATCATCAACACAACTGATAAAATCTCAAATACTGAAAACAAAAATAGGGGCTGGTGAGATGGCTCAGTGGTCTAAAGCACCTACTTAGAACAAGCTAAGCTAAGCAAAGCACAGGGACCGCAGTTCAATTCCCCAGCACCACGTGCCAGCCAGCCCCACCCCCTGGTGGGCTGAGCTCACCACATACACACAAAATAAATAAATAAATTTAAAAAAAAAGAAAACAAAACAAAATAAATTCATGACTAAAGAAAAACAAGAAATGAAGACTGAGACAGGAGGATCACTATACGTCTGAGCTGCGTAATGAGACCCTGTACTAAATACATAAATAAATAAATAAATAAATAAGATTTAAATTCATGACTAAAAAACACAAGAAAGTAAAAATCTCCCAGCCAGTCATCAGCATTAGACAACAGAGACAAAGAGGGCCACCTAAAAATTTACAGAAAACATTGCTTCTCCCAAGAAGACACTGCAACTGAAAATGTTACAATCTCCTATTTAGAGTGACTATTATATTCTTACTCACTGAGAAGACTTGTCGTCTAAAATCATAGATCAACAAAACTTTGTTATTTAAACATATATCAGTAAGAATGAAATATCTCCCTCCTGTCACTTTGACACAGAGAATCAGCTTTGATTTTCAACACAGAACTCATAGGGCTGGATTAAATCAAAGTGAAAGTTATAGCCCAAACTCTTCACTTCTCTGGCTTATGATAACACTCACATAATTACATGACACATAAGGGAAGGGGAAAGGAATTAGACGGTTTAAGGAATACAATTTCAGCTATCACACAGAAAAGTTCCTAAGATAAGTGTTTCATTTTCTTTATCAACTACTCAAAGATTGTGTACTCATCTTACAGTCACTGGATGACCCAATGAGCTGTCTCATTAGTGGACAGCTGGGAAATATCTTCCCATTTTTCCTTCATTGTCAGTCCTGTCCAGTTCCACTGCCCACCACACCCCCCATGGAAGAAGCATTTTATCAATAAATAATGCATACACATTGGAGAATGACATCACCATTCATAACTATTCTTGGTAGTACAGCTGTGAGAGAGAAAATAAACAAATGAGTAAACTTGAACCACTCAGAAGAAAGGAACTTCCTAGAAAAGGTTACTATGTGTAAACAAATCTTTATTAAGATATGCTAGAGTCCAGAGGTATTAGAATATTTCAAGTTTGTATAACCAGAAAATATTTTACTTTTAGTTTTGAAATGTATGTTTACTAAGCATAAAATTCAATGAGGACAGATTTTTTTTCTTTCACCCTTTGAATTAATTAGTCTAATTTCTCACACACTTGCTCTTTTTTTTTCTAATGTGGAATAAGATGCTATTTAATTTTATGCTTCCATAGCTAATATTTTTTACGTATATGTTTTAATGATTTTTTCTTTACAATTTTGGACAATTTCATTTTTGTGTATCTTGGTATGATTTTATTCAAATTTATTGTGAAAAAGGTTCATTTTTCTTAGAAATTTGGTACTATAATTTCAATTAAACTCAGAAATTTTAAATCTTTTTTTTTTTTTTGCATAACTGGGGATTGAACTCAGGCCCTTGCACTTGCCAGGCAAGCACTTACTCTACTGAGCTATCTCTTCAGCCCCAGTAATTTTAAATCTTTAAATATTTATTGCCTACCCTTTCTACTTTGAGAATTCCAATTATATGAACATAAGTTTCTTGATTTTGGTACAGAGTGAACTATTATATGACTGATATGTAAATTCTTCTTCATTTTTATCTTTTTTAATTTTATTGAGAAAAAAACTGCAATGTGAAAGCTTCAAAACAGGTTGGTAGGAGAGTTACAAAAATTAATACATTGTATATTGTTGTCTTTGTAGTAGTCATTCATAGCACAAGATGCAGACATGATATCCAGTCCAAACACTATTAGTACAGATCTTTCTTCTTATTGAATTAGGAGAAAGTAGCTCTATATCTATTCTATTTTGTATATATCACCTTTTTTTGTTCAGTTTTGTCAGAGATGGGTATTCCATTGTCATTTAAATATTGTAGGTGCATGAATTCAGCAAAATATTCCAGTATAGTCCAGTAGTCCATAATAGTAGTAGGTTATCTGTAAGACTGGCAATGTCTGAATCTGATGACTTGAGCCTTCCACAGCTCAGCATATTAACATGGTTTCACTTTTCATACCTTGTTTCTACACTTTTCTGCTGGATGCTTAAGACCAAGATAAAGCAAGACCTATATAACAAAAAATGTAACTTTTGTATCTGACACAGTCAGTCAAGTCCCCTCAGGACTTATCCCAAAACCCTGTACTGCATTTTGTAGATCCTTTGTCAGTGTCAGCCATGTGGATGAATGACGGCCATTGCTTGAACAATTTGCTCTCTGAGAGAGCCTGAAAGAATGCTTTCTCTCCATGTGATTCTCTCTAGGCACACTCTACATCATCGATCACTTTCCTCTGTGGCCCCATAATCTCCTTGATCAGAAAATTTGGGGCACAACTGAGTTACATGACGTTACAGTACAGGTTCTCCTATATCCTGAGTCCTCACTGACCTCGAAAGGCTAGGGCCAAAATGTTGGCTGTCCTTGCAGCCCTTCTTTTTCTCTAATTTTTGGTCTGCAAACTTAGGTTGTTAATCCTCCAGAAGAGAAGCTTATTATTGCCCTACATATGCAGGTGGGTTTAACCTCACTATCTGAGTATCAAACATCTTAGGCGTAAGATGGAACATCTTAAAAAAAAAACAAAAAACATTTACTTGAGATACAGTCTGGCCATAATTGGTAAGTCATGACAAGCAGTACATATTTAGAAGACCAGAATGACAGGCATTCCAAGCATGATCCCACTATTACACATTACTATCTTCGGTGCAGTCACTCAGTTAACATGTATCAGCATATATAGTTAGTCATGGTGAGAATCCCACCCAGTAACTGCTAGATTCAACAACCTGCTGATAGTTCTCAGGATCATTGCCTTACCCATCTTGTATGTATAAATGTATGGCTTTGCCCCTATCATGTTTCCTAGCTTTTCTCCTTGCCCTCTTCATTTTTATCTTGGACAATTTTTATTGTTTTTTTTATTTTTATTGTTATATTCATTTAAGTTTGTAAAAAATTTATTTACAATGTGAAATCTATTAATCTCATGCTATGTATTAATTTCAGAAATATTTCTCTAAAGTTCACTGTTTACATCTTTTATCTTTCACATTTCAATATTTGTCTACAATTTTTAATATGCTATATAATTATTGACTTTCAATAAAGTTAATGAGAAAAAAATATATGCTAGAACACACTTCTCCCATGACTATTTGACCTTTCATATAAATAAAATTTAAAGAACCACTGAAATTTAAACACAGGCAAACCTTCTTTGTAATAGACTAGAACAATAAATATTACCTTAAATTCTGACAACCATTCTTCCACAACCCCTCTCTCTGAAGTGAACATCTTTCCACATGTGTTCCAAGCCTTCAATCTGAAAATTAAACACAGAAAACTGTCAAAAATTTGAATTTATTTTACTCAGTCAGATTATCATAAAGATAAACATACTCTTATAAAGATAAGTTACTTATTTGTAAAATTAAAGACTTCAAGAATAACTCACTACATTCATTTTGAGACAAATGTATACAAACAGGCCTTAAATATAAAACATTTTGACAAAAATATAAATATCATAATGTGAGGAAACAGGCTCTGCAATTTTTATTTAGCTTTCAGGAATGCCAGTTGTGAAACATACTAAAAGATTTTCCATAGTTTTAGCTCAATAATTTCAGAAGAGATCATTCATCTTAAAATTGCAGAAAATATTTGAATGTTTAAAAATATCAAAAGAGATACACCCAAAACTGACTCTATAGAAAATATTAAAGCAAGTTCATTCATTTATTTCTTAAGTTCTTTATAATAATAACAAAGCCATTTGGTTTTCTGCCAATTTAATATTCATTTAACAAAGTAAAAGTGCTTAATATTCAAGTAATGACCCTATATTTAGCAATCGTTTTTCAGAAAATTGGGCTTTACTTAAGTGTAAATAGGAAAAAAGAAAGTGCAAGGAAATGTAAAACATTTTGATCTTAAACAAAATGTTATTAAGTAAAGTATAACACACTTTTTCATTCATCTATCTACATGGAAGTAAACTAGAAACTATTTCCTGAAGGAAAACTTTTTCTGTATCTAAACTTCTTTTCTAATGCACAGGTTTCTTAACTTTTATCAGCATTATAATGTAGCAAAAACTGATGTAGAACTGCTGCAGATTGAATCCAGATTCTACTGCTTATCTGTACTATAACTCTGAATAAGACATTTGACTTGCTTTTTCATCAATAAAAAAGTGATCACCACAGAACCCAATTCCAAAGGACAATTGGGAGGACACTTACAATAGTACCTGCCAAAGCTACTAAAGAATAATTCAAACTCATAATCTCTGATGTACCATCTATCAGAGTTTACAGATATACCTTAATGAATAACACAGGTACTTGCCAAAGAATGCATTCTATACATTAATTCATTCATGAAGACCTGAATGATATGAATCCTATTTTTTCAATAAAATAAACCCTTTTATCCTCAAATCAAGTCAGACTACCAAATTATCACACATTTGTAATGTACCACTGGTTTAACAAAACTGTCTATTTGAAACCACTGGACTTTAGTATTATGTCCAACATGTTAACAAAAGCACAGTGGATCACATGCTACCTCACTTAAAAAGTCAACAGAGGAGAAAATTTATATCCTCGGTTTTCAGTACCAGGAAACACTCTCTTTTAAAGTAACTGGATTCTTACTTTAGTAATATATCTTTAATTTCTAAATTCTCTGTATTCTTCTCTAGTTTTCTTGATTTTCTTTCATGAGATTCAACTTTGCTTCATGGATATAATAGCTTGTTAGGTTTGTCAAGATAACAATACAATAGTTATTATACAGCTGTTAGTAATATATTATTATAAGTTGTTATTAGTAGTTGTTATTGTAAGGTTGTTTCTCTTTCTCTATATTATGTCTGATATTTTGCAAGTAATTTTGTCTTATTTCTTTCTGGTCATTCTCCTTTGTCTCATGAGCGTTTTTCAAGATTATGTAGCACTCCTTGGGTCTGAGTGTTGGGATCTTCTGACCAGTGGTCTGGAGTTCCAGTTCATGAGTCTCACAAACCTCAGCCTTCTCTTCAGGACCATTGGTACACAGCAATCATACAGATGATCCCTAAATGCTGGAATACAGCAGTTTTGCTTAGAGCTGGCAATTTTCACAGTGTCTATAGATCATGTTTTCTTTCTAGTTTGTTTCTTTTCCCTTAGCACCAAATACATGATCGGTGGGTTTCCCGTGTGCAGAAAGTAGAGTGCAGCAAGTCAGCTTCCCTGTACACAGACGCCCTGGCCCTCCTCAATCTTGCTTGCACCCTGCCCCTTTTCTCCTTCACGCCACTTCCAGAGATTCCAGCTTCCCTCTGCTGGTGCCCATTTTGTACACCACCCAAAAAAGAAGTATTTGCAGTATTTGCCCTGCTCCTTAAATGATCACTTTTCTACTGATCTCTATCTGCAAAAAATATGCTAAAATTTTGTTATTCTCATTTCAATGTAGTTTCAAAAGGAAAAGTTAAATATGTGGTCAAACCACTGCTTGACCCGGGAGTTGCATTTCTGAATTTTAAACAGTGTGTATGGTAAGAAAGAGAAACTATGTAAAAACATATTGAATAGAAAAATTAAAGTTTTCTATTTGAAACCTGCCTAAAAAAAGAAAGTAACTGGACTCTTTTCATATTATCTCTTAACCGATGTAAATCTGTAAATCTCTTTAACTGATGATCTTTGCTTCGATTCTTTTTTTTTTTTTTGGCTGGCTCAGCCCACCCCGAGGGTGGGGATGGCACGCATGTAGTGCCGGGAATGAACCGCCATACCCTGCGCCTGCCTAAGTATGCCTAAGTATGCCTAAGCAGGCACTTTAGACCACTGAGCTATCTCGCCAGCCCCTGCTTTGACTCTATAAAGTTGGGAGTCAAAGTTTCTGCTCTAACTCTGACCACAAAGAGGTAAACCTATATTAATTTTGTCTAATGCTTTATTTTATATTTTACTTTGATTTTCAGGAGGAAGATAAACTAGATATTATTAAAAGTAAGAACCTCTATTCATCAAAAGATACCTCTAAGAATGAAAAGGCAAAGTCATAGAATGGGAGAAGTTATTTGAGATATACATCAAAAAGTCTTATATCCAGTACACAGAAAGAACATATAAGTTATTAAGAAAAAGGGAAACAAATCAATAGGAAAAGCATCATCATCACTGAACCAAGTGGAAGCTTAACACAGGGAAGGTACTCACTTTTGTTAATCACCTGGGAAATGCCAATTAAAAGGCACAATTAATTACACTACACATGCATGCATATATACACCAAATTATGACCAGAATGAAAGACAATACCATGTACTGAAAAGATACAAGGGCTGGTGAGATAGCTCAGTAGACCAAGGGCCTGCTTAGGTAAGTGTAGGGACCTGGGTTCTATCTCTGTCACCACAGGCCGCACCAGCCCTGCACCCAGGTGTGCTGAGCCGGCAATGGAGACCAGGCATGGTGGTGCACACCTGTAATCCCAGCACTGGGGAGGAGAACGTTCAAAGATATAGAGTGGCAGGGAGATAGCTCAGTGGCATAAGCAGCTACCTGGCAAGCTCGAGGTCCCAAGTTTGATCCCTGGTGCCACAACAGAGAGAGGGAGAGGGAGAGGGAGAGGGAGAGGGGA